AGTCAATGTGACCTATGTCCACAAGCAGTTCAAGAGTTTTTTATTTCTGAATTAGCAAAGATATCTGATACAGATGTCTTTTAGCCTTATAACAAAGATAAAATATAACAACCCCTTAATACCTCATTACAACCCAAATAACGGATGAAATAGTAACAAACAAAATATGAATTCAAGGCATCTCAACAACTAGAGTTAGCAACCTAGAGTCAGTTTGATAACGTCTCTTTACAATACATTCACACAACCTCGAGTTCAAGTAACAAAAGAACTTTGTAGGTTTAATAGTCCATATCATCAACCTAAGAGATATGCACTCCCCCTAATTACGGAAGGTGATGTGATGCCCATGGATTAAGATAAGCATGCATGTGACTTACTAGGAGACCATTATTTGACTTGAATCTAAGAAGTGGCTTGAGTCTATAAGATCTAAGATGGAATCCATGTACACTAATTAGGTGTGGACCTTTATTGATCCATATACTTGAATGGGTAAAAACATATAAGGGATAAGTAGGTCTTCAAAAAGAATACTAACATGGATGGTAAAGTAAACACCTTTAAGGCATAATTTGTTGCAAAAGGTTTCAAGCAAATTCATGGTATAGATTATGATGAGATTTTTTCTCCAATTGCGATGGTTAAATTTTTCTAAATAAAACTTATTATAAAAGCATACCAGGATTATGAAATCTAGTGGATAGAGGACATAACAACATTTATTAATAGGAATCTTATCAAGGATGTGCACATGATATAACTTGAAGGTTTTGTGAATTATTTAAAATAAGCTAGAAAGGTATGCAAATTGCAAAGATCCATTTATGGATTAAAGTAAGCTCTTAGAAGCTAGAATCTTTGTTCTGATTAGATAATTTGGATTCATCAAGAATGAAGATGAATCTTGTGTATACAAAAAGGTTAGTGAGACCACAATTGCATTTCTAGTTTTGTATGTGGATGACATATTACTCATTGGTAACAATATCCCAACATTTCAACATGTGAAAACATGGTTGGAAAGTTGTTTTTCCCTAAAGAACTTGGGTGAGGTATGTATTAGAAATCGGGATCTATAGAGATAGATTTTTGAAGTTATTCAACCTTAGTCAAAGTACAAATATTGACAAAGTAATCAAGCGTTTTAATATGCATTATTCTAAGAAGGATTTCTTTCCTATGCCACATGACATATATTTGTCCAAGGGACAATCTCCCACCTAATCAAATGAGAGGGAAAGCATGAGTAAGATTCCATGTATCTATAGTTAGATTTACCATGTATATTGTAATGTGTTATTGACCATATGTGTCATATGCTTTAAGCACGACAAGCATATACCAATTTGATCCCGATCAAGGTCACTAGGTTGTCATCAAGAATATTCTTAAGTACTTGTGAAGGTCTTAAGATGTTTTCTTAGTGTATAGAGGTAAAGAAGATCTCGTTGTAAAGGGTTACACTAATATTAGCTTCCAAATTTATAGGGATAATTTCTTATTGCATTAAAGATTTGTGTTTAGTGTGAATAATGGCATTGTGAGCTAGGAAAGTCCAAAGCAAATGACAATGACCAATTATATTATAAAGTTGAGTATATAGTTGAATAAAATGTAACTTAGAAGTTTATTTGGATCAAGAAGTTAATTACTGAACTTGGCTTTGTTCTTAGCATTGTGAACATGATTAACCTATATTGTGACAACAATGAAGTAATTGCTCAAGTCAAGGAACCTAGACCTCACCAGTGATCCAAACACATACTAATATACTTCTATCTCATTTGAGAGATCATCTATAGAAGAGATGTTAAGATTTGTAAAGTGTCAACATTAGAGAATATGTTTGGCCTGCTAATGAAGTTTCTTGCTCACATGAGGTTGATGGGTATTAAGTGTATCTCGATTAGCCAATCTTTTATTTGTATCATAATTTTGATGTATTGACATTTGATCATTTTTATAAAGGCATTTCAAATATTATGGTTTTATTGCAAAACATAATAATGCCATTAGAATGGTTTGTTTGTTCAAAGATATATCAAGTATGATTTCATTTGAAATTCTAGTGAACAAATAATATTAATCTTAAAGTATATGTAGTCAAGTATTATTGTTTACTAGGATCACAATTATACATTGAGACTAATGCATGAGTTAAATGATGAATATTACATGATTTTGACAAGTGTATCAATCGCACAAGTAGTCAATGATAAGTAAATATTGTCTCCCAAAGGACTTGTGTAATACATGGCAACAAATAAATTTAATAACTAATTTAAACTAAAAATATTTCATTAATTGATATTGATCGGTAAAAGAAATAAAATTCATGTAAAAGAAAGATAAAGTTCTTTTTGGTATTTTCTCAAACACATAGAAGAGAATTTAGATAAGAAATGATATGGTATGTTAATGTTAGGATTAGACTTCACCAAACTTCACTATCATGCATTTAAAATACTCAAATCTTTTTTTGCATTTAATGTTAATGCTAACCCACTATATTATTCAAATTCTAATTACTTAGAAGAAAGAGCCTAAGTTCCACTATTAAGCATCAATCCCTTAAATACTTAATAAACAAACTTGCATTAATAAAAAGGTTTAAGCAACTAATGGGTCAAGCTAGTTCTATTCTTAGATACAAGCTACACTAAGTATTTTGTTCTAGTTCAAGATTAGAAAAGATATTTTTTAATATCTAATGAATCAAATATCAAGCTTTGGTTGATCTCTCCACAACAAGCATTAAAAGTAGAAACACAATACTAACATTGGTTGGTTACATCTGATCCCAATAAGGATGAAATTAGTTTCTCATTGTCACAAAAAAATAAAATAAGGTGATTCATGGAAGATGGAGAGCCAAGGAGAAGCTTGAAAGTGGTGAAGGAAGCCCTAGCATGTGAAGACAACTTATAGCATAATGAATCCAATATGAACCCATACCCATCAATTTTTCATCACTTTGGCTTCCAATGTCATTCTTGGCTAACTGATTGGCATTGCAATGGAATTGATTCAAGTACTTTAACAAATAGTTAGGTTTCCCAATTACCAACCTACAACTATCATGACATTTACTTGATGATATGATATTGATGTTGCAAATGACATATATGCCAATGGAGAGATGACACTTGATCAACATTTAGACGGAAACCCAACATTTAGCTCCTCACATTCCGATTGAGGCATAAGAGTGAAGCAAAATGACACACGCGCATACCAGCTTACAACTTTTTCATGTTGATATGAAATGAGTGAGCATATAAAGGTTTTGTTTTGTTGCTTAATTTTGGGCATGTTGTGATTACTTTTTCATATCCTCATGTCCACGACTTTTATATTGGGCTTATTAATAACGAAAATTCTAACATGAAGAGGTATAAAAAATGGTACATTGATGAAGCACCATTTTTAACCATTAAATTTAATAATAAAATAATTAACGGTTCAGATTTGTTACCTGTAACTTGTAAATAGAAATTTTTGAATTTTGCAGATTAATCCCTTCTGTTATGGTAATTATTTTTTTATTTTGGAGAATAGTCCCTTTCTTAAAAAATATAATTTGATTAGTAAGGGTTATTATTGTCATATGAATAAATTGATTTTCTTTTACTTGGAGTGGGACGGGGGTGGCGGTGGCAGCGGAGGGGGAGGGTGGAGGTCGGTGGTAGTGGAGGGGCAGAAGCATGAAGGGAAAGGGGATGACGTAAGGTTAGAGGTGGTGGAGTGCGACGGGGTGGCAGCAGCAATAGAGGGGGAGGGTGGAGGTCGGTGGTGGTGGAGGAGCAGAAGCATGAAAAGAAAGGGGATGACGTGAGGTTGGAGGTGGTGGAGTGCAACAGGGGTGGCGACAGCAGCGGGGGGAAGGGTAAAGGTCGATGGTGGTGGAGGGGCAAAAGCATGAAGGAAAAAAGGATGACATGAAGTTAGAGGTGGTGGAGTGCGACAGGGGTGGCGACAGCAACAAAGGAGGAAGGTGGAGGTCGGTGGTGGTCAAGGACGGAGCCAAGGGGGGACCTACGGGTGCCACGGCCCCCCCAACAATTTTAATTTTTTTTTATATACATATATATTACTATATGGCACCCCCTATTTTTAATATAAACTCATATGTATAATTAAATGAATAACCCAAATTTATTTTTTTATTCAACTTTTGGACTTCTGGTACGGCCTGCTATGTGGTATCACTTTGGAATTTTTTTTTTTTTAAAAAAATGTAGCGCCTCATTTGATCATTCCAATTCTCGGCCCCCCAGTATTGAAATCCTGGCTCCGTCCCTGGACTGGTGGTGGAGGGGTAAAAGCATGAAGGGAAAGGGGATGACGTGAGGTTGGAGGTGGTGGAGTGCGACAGAGGTGGCAGTGACAGCGGAAGGGAGAGCAACAACCCCAAATAAAAAAAAATTCATATGGATAAATTTGGTATTACAAAATTAATGATAATTTTTAATTTTTAAAAATTATTTTATCACAAGGATTATATTGCAATCAACAATAAGTTGTAAATCCTGCTATTACAAGTCATTTTAACGACTCATGGATGAAGCATTGCTTTCATTGTTAGAAGCGTTCTATTAATAAAAGTTTTTCTATTGAGTATTTGAGTTGAATAAAAAGCACTCTTAAATATTGTTTTGAGTGTGCTAGCTTTGTGGATGTTACACATGTAGTTTTTTACTTTTAACTTTGTTTTGTTAACATGAATTTATAGTTTATTCCCTTTATAGTGGGCCATATTCAATACTTATTTTGAATTAGTGGAGTTCCTTTTAGCTAGATTTTCCTTTGAAACAAGTTATAATGGGATGGTGACATGAATCATATATGCTAAGCTACGACTTTACATTCTCATTTGGCCAAACAAAAAAATAGTTTCAATGTTTGCAATAAATGAACATATACATGTCACGTTAGAGTAGTCACAACTAGAGTAGTCACAACTCGGTACCTCTAGCAATCAGGATGGACCAGAAACATGATCATAATAAGAGATATGTTATCATTAAGGATGGTGAGATTGGGATCAAGAAATGATCCTCCTACATTACTTTTCTATGTACTGTAGAAAGAATAATCCATCACGACCCATCCACATAAACCGTAAAAGATGTCAGCTTCATCTGAATCTGTCCATGTGATAAAAGAGCATAGGCCTAACCCTAAAAATCATGATTTAGTACATTGCTGGGGTAGAAAAATGGGGGGAGCTAAGAAAATTTTAGATTAACAAAAACAATGTATGAATTATAATCTGGTGATTCCAGTTTCAATGACCCTATGAGTGCACCAAGACAATGGAACTTGAGCACCAAACTTCACTTTCTACCCGTTGCTCCAGCTCTTGGCTTACCTTTAACCTCAGACTCCTGCTCACATGAGAAAAGGTTACTCCTAAACTCATGCTTGTTGAATGGAAAAAACTGGAATAAACGCTTGTAATATGAACATGACATGAATGAAGCATCCCTCAACTTTGTTTTCTTATTTGGGGTACCCTCATTAAAAGCAGGTAGATCAAGAGATAAAAAGACTACAACTTAACAATTGCTCCCATTCTATTTCATTATTTAATATTCCAAATTTCCAATCATATTTCCAAATGAAAGAATAACAATTGTTCCCATTCTGTTTCAATACTTTATAGACTAAATTATATATTTAGTCCTTTATCTTTAAATGTTCATTTTGATCTTTTACCTCTTAAATTTGGATTGATTTGGTTCTTTTGAAACAATGATCATTTTCAATTTTAAAACAATTTTGAATCAATTTTCAACTGATTTAAGACATGAAATTTGTAACATTAGATTTACTTATATGAAAAATATGAAATTTCTTAGAATAGTGGATTAAGCCTAACTCAACCCTACAAAACCGGCTTGTAAGGTGAGGGTTGCTTTCCACTTATATACTATTCAATTGCCTAATCTCTAGTCGATGTGGGACTTGGATTTTTCCCAATACACCCCCTCACGTCCAGCACTATTGGGTTTGGTACGTGGATAAATGGTGGGTGACCCTTTTTAATGATCTAGGATTGGCGGGACTTAGGTTTTTTCCAATACACCCCCTCATGCCTATGAGGCATGCATCAATGGTGGGTGACCCATTTTTAAAGTGGATCTAAATGGTTTAGATACCATGTTAGAATAGTGGATTGAACCTAACTCAACCCTACAAAACCGGCTTGTAAGGTAAGGGTTGCTTTCCACTTATATACTATTCAATTGCCTAATCTCTAGACGATGTGGGACTTGGGTTTTTCCCAATAAAATTCAATTAAGTTCAAATCTAAACGGGCTATAACATAATGAAAATAGTGTGAAAAATATATCCCAATGTGTAACTAAAAAATATTATGAAATTAGATATTCTAAATTTTAGTTCCTTTTTAAATTTATTTTTATGCAATTTTCACCATGTTTGTTTTATAACACTTTGTTTTAAACTTCATTGCATTCAATAGCTTTTATATAAGTGAATCTAATAAGATAAGTTTCAAATCTTGATTTAGTCAAAAAATGATTCAAAATAATGTCTCAATTAAACATAATCATTGTTTCAAAAAGACTAAATCGATTCAAATTTAGGTGATAAAGAATCAAAGTGAATATTTTAAAAAATAAAGAACCAAAATGAATCTAAAAAATACGATAAAGAATCAAAAATATAATTTAGCCTATTATATATTCATTCAGCCTCATCCATCCAATGGGTTGTTAAATATGTTCATGGGAAGATTATACAACTTAAACATGAATGTAGTGTACATATGCACAAGCGTACCTGTGGTAAGTGCAAATATATGCAGCTCTTTGCTGTAGCTGGATTGTGATTTTCTGCACCCTTGCTCCAATCATAACAAACCTACAGATACGCACATGATTGCAAAATCAAATAACGGGAGGTAATTAAAGTTACGGGTCAAGTCAATATGTGCACAAAAATAAGTTAACTTCATACATATTTTTAAGTTCATAAAGTTGAAGAACGAAACTTGAACAGAGTTAATCACAAGCTGCGTCACATGCACAAAACTGACAATTTACCATCAAAAATTGTGTGGTAGATGAGATTTAGGCAATTCATTTCATACTGTTTTAAAGGCACATGCATTGTATGCTATTTGCCATAATAGGGACGGGAAGATGTACGCATTCTCAACAAAGTCCTTAAATTCATCAATTTAACCTTTTAATTTTTCAATACATGTAAATGCCTAATTCGACTGCCAAAACCAATTTTAGTAGCATACATAATCTGTTAGCTAAAGGGGGGAATAATTTTAAATTAATTATAAGTATTGAACGTTCAATTTAACAATTTAAATTCAAGGACTTAATTAAGCAAAAATAATCTGGGTCCTAAACCCGTAGCATCCAAAAGCCACTTTGGCCTTTGGGAATTGATAAATTCTGAGTTGCACTAGGTGGACTCATTTAAGGAGAGGCTAGGTTCTCCTAGTGCCTATTTTTTCCATTCAAAGAATTTAAACTCAAGATTTGACTATGCCTTCTATGGATCAGAATATTATCTAACTCACAACCCCTTCTAATTAATTTTTTAAGAAAATGACTAGGAAAAGCACAGAACAAGAGGTAGAGGGACAAGGATTGAAAATCCATTCAAGTAATGAAGATAACAAGTATGATGTTTTCACAAAATGGGGCCACATTGATATATATAAATCAATATTTTGAGAATCTATTTTTATATAACTAGAAACCGATAGCCCATAGTAAACAATTTCTTTATAGAGGAATGTGGAACCTACTAAATTCATCTGGAACCAACACACATAAATTCATGTGGGACCTACACCCTATTTAGTGGGACCAACATGATGTTCACCAAATAATGAATAGTGTATTGAAAAAGTGTGTTGCTTGCATTTTTTTCTTTACTTGGTTATTTGCTTATAATGTAAATATGTAACTTCCTATGTTTATTGTCAATATTTTGAAAAGCATTTAAAATGCCCCCACCCTGCACCATAATATTTGGCATCAGAAATAGCTTAAAATTGGACATCACAGTACATATTTGTATAATATTTGCCATACATGCACCACATGGGTGTGGGTGCCATAGTGCAAGAGTGAGCAAGAGAAGGGTAAGACTTCAATTGTCGAAGCAAAACATGTAGATCTTACACAAACAAATTCAGGTTTCCTTATTTATTAATGAATGTCATAAGAAAGAAGCAAAAAAATATGAAACTGCACAAGTAAATCAGTGTGGTTTACAAAGGGACAAATACCGCATAAGCAAATATGGAACCATCATTATTGAATGTACTGCAAGGTATGGGCTGACTACACCTTTGCATAACCTGCAATACATATTAAAGTCTTATAAGCAAATGACAATAACAACAAATACTTCAAGAGGATTGAAGACAACATATTACTTTCAAGATCTTCATAATGATCAAAACAATAATTGAGGCTTTAAGAACCCAAAAAGAAACACAAACATCCAGATCCAATATTGAAAGGGATCATTCTTCCATTTTCCTATAAGTGATAATAGGCAAATTAGAGACTAGGTGTCCCCCTGACCCCATCATTAAAAAAAAATTTATGGCCAAAAAGGAATGTAATAACAAAAATATCTAGGTTACCAGGTGTTCAATCAATAAATATAGATGGGTCCTAGCATGAAACAAAGGAGCAAAAACTTTAATCTATGCAGAAAAAACAACACAAGTATGTTTTGAAAATTCCAAAGATCAGTTTCAGAAAGAACAGGTGAAAAGAGTGCATTAGAGAAAGCAGGAACCTTGAGTCTCTGTTTACTGTCCTTATCCCAGAAATTAAAAGCACCATCAGATCCAGCAGTTGCAAAAGTGTGATGTATCTGAATGCAACAACACAAAATAAGATCTTACATAAAAGGTTATTAAAAACACAGCTTGAAAATAAATTTAACTAAATTTGAAATCATAGGTGCACTACCGGATGGAAATTTATGGCATTGACTGAATATATCTCATTGTTCTCTCTGTGGCATTTAAATGTAAAATTCTTGCTTTGTTGTGCATCATCCAGATGATGTACTCCAACCCTTCCTTCTATTGAGCCAACCTACAGAGGAACCACACAGTGAATACTCCATAATGCCAACAATTCATTTTGGAGTCAAAAATAATGTTATTAAGTGAATACATAGCAAGGATTTGTCCAATGGTGATAAGAACAGCAGAGAGCATACACGTGACACAGGAGACTCATTATATTGAAATAGACAGAATTGATGTTTGAGTTTGTATATGTACTACATGTCAAATATGGTAAAGGAAAACAAGTACATCTTGAAGTTCAAGCGAGCCAAACTGAGGGAAAGTGGGGGAAAAAAGGAAAGTAGAGACAAAATTTAGAGAGGTCTTGAAGTGTTCTAATTTCTAAGATACAGGACAGAATCATGATCTGTATAATGAGTACCACCTCGGAATATATAGGAACTATATAGGAGAAACTGTTACAAAAGAATCGATCAGTTCTAACAGATTGCTATAACAGGGTTGTATCAAAAACAGAATCAAGAAGTTAGGAGATCAGTTAGTTCACCAGACAATGCACGTGCTACCAGAACAGCACATTAATCATCACAGTACTAGTATGTAGTACTGGGTTCCCTACATATGCTCTACAGTATACAGGTCAGTATATGAATTTACTGTATATTCTAATAACATAGAATTCAATTTGAAGTCTCTACATGGTTACGTCTCAATAATTATGGCTCCAAAATAGTCATCTTATGGGTCCAGTTCAAAATCCTTCAGCAAATGGTGCTTTAGGGTGGCGTTCCGAGTCACCCAAACAAACGTTGAAACAAAAACTCCAAAGAATTGCTTTGTGTTTTTGTGCTTGGGAAAGTGGGATTTCCCAGTTGTATTGACACAAACAGGTTCCTAAACACAGTCCTAATAGCCATTAGTCTAAATTCACAATGGATGTACCAATTAGATCCTCTGACGCAAGGGTACCCCTAAAGTCAACTTGTACACAAATTGGGTATGTTCTCGTACCCAGTACATGTGTGGTACACATGGGTCTGTACAGGGGCATAACACAAGAAATTAAAAATAAAAAATAAAAAAAGAGGATATTCAATGTGGATACACATGGCTACTATTTGATAGGTATGATACCACATCCTGAGTCCAATAAATAGAAAACATTAAAAAATAAAATAAAATAAGTTTTCCCTTTGTCCCTACTTGCTTCCATTCACATTGTTGTGTTCATGTTCATGTATGGCTGTGATGGTGATGGTGACGGTGGCTCAAGTCAGTGTTTAAGCAACTTTGCTTTTGTTTTGCCCACTCCTACATCTCTATTCTTACCCTCCCCCAATTCTGTGAGTAGGACTCATTCCAATTTTCTCCCAAACCTGTGTCTTTGTCATGTCTCAATGACTACATATTTGAACTTTTAGTTTATTATAATTAATATTATCAATATCTGACTAGAACCCGTTTACCAAGTATGCATCCTTGCTGTGCTACATTTCACAAAGAACAGAGATGCAGGAATCAATCTTTTCAATGACCATGGTCATGGACAAGGAAATGATGAGATCGAAACTGTTAAAAATATGATATCATAGTCATGTTTAGATTTCACAATGTTAACATTAAACAATTTATTTATTATAATTCTTTATTATGATACATATTTATTTAATATTGAAGACTTTAATCTCCTTCTATGTAATAAGTTATGCCCATTTGTATTTTTTTATCATTCATACAATTTTCTCATGTTTATATAAAGTTATATTTTTTATATATGTATATTTTCTAAATTTTATATTAAAATACTCATCCTAGACATTTGAAAAGTTCCGTACCCAGTACCCATACCAGGCAACCAAGGTTAGGCATCCTCAAGCTGTAGAGGATCTTCACAACATAGATGTGTAAGCCCCAAACCATGTGCAGAATTGCCCAAAATCATAGCCGTAATAAGATTAAATAATATGAACACAACAATTGAGATTTCTAGTGTATTTGAATGTAATTGGGAGCTGAATACATACCAAAAAACCTTGTTGATCTGGAAAAGCAGCAACACACCTTGTCTGATATTTCAGGGGAGATACGATTCTCTTGTATTCAGTCTGTTGGGGTTTCAATATAAATTAGAAGAAAAACATATTAAATTGATGTTTGTTGAAATTAATAACTCCACAAATTTTAATATGAAATCAGTGCTTAATTTCTCCTTGTCAAAACCATGGAAAACCAGAAAGTGCAGAACAGGTAAATACAAACAAATCATGTGAAACTTTATATATATATGTATATATATATATATATATATGTGTGTGTGTGTGTGTGTATATATATATATCATAAAAGGGAGGCGGGTGTAAGTGGTTAAATATGGGCATTCAGGCAATCATATTTACTTTGGGTTGCATGTTCCATGAATTCATTTTATATTTTCTTCAATAATCAGCTATGGCCTATGTGGTAAATTCTATATTTTCTCTTATTTCCTGACTCCTTAAGGAGATAAAATGCATCTCCCATGGAGTTGGCATCAAGATGGTTAAGACTAAGTAAAATTTAACACATTGCATTCCTGGTACTGAACAAAGTAACTACTCTTAGGGTTTTTCCAAGGTGTGATACTACTGAGTAAAGTTCAGATGATCAGGATCCATTTCCTGTAAATCGCATCATACACCTTAGAAGAGCAAATGAATTATAACAAAACCATAGTTTGTTATCCAAGTTTTTATATTTTATAGGAAAATAAAATTCTGATTACACTTGCAAGGAGCAAAAAGCCAAAAAGAGAATGCACATTTCATATGATGTAACAAAATTACACACTTTTATTCAAATTAGATACTGATAATAGAATTTCTAGCAGAAATTTCATCTCCATAAAAAATTATTTTAGAAGGAAGAATGAAATGTCACCTGAGGATTTTGCAAGTTGAAGACAATCAGATTTCTATCCGCAGTTCCCACTACCATCAGAGGATGTTTCACTGTTAGTGCATAGCAGCGTTCAGGAAGTTGTTGAGTATGCACTGGATTTGACTGCCTAGTATCCCAATACCTAAAAATAAAGAAAATAAAGCATAAAATAATTTCTTAAGTAGTTAAACATCAACATAATCAACCACACAGATACCGAGAAAAGGAATTAGTGCAAAATATGCCATCTTTTTACTAAATTATTAGAAGTTTTCATTGCAAGTGTCACAGTGTTGCACAAATAGACAATCATAAACTTAAAGATAAAAACCAAAAGAAGGATAACAGCTAGTTCATGAAAGCTTCCTGCCAAAATCCAAATATTTGGCAATGACACATTAAATAGTTTTATTACATCTACCAAATCTTTGGCAATGACAGATAGTGAGAATAAACAGTTCCAAATGAATCCACCCAGCCTGATATATTCTTTCTAGATATAATAAAGCACTATTATTTGTATGCTTCCTAACTAAACAACGAACTTAAGCACACTACAATATATCATAATTGAGCATGCAACAAATGGCCACCTTACCAACATTTTAACAGACAGGTGTGGCCCAAACAGATGTAGTTTCTGTGACCCAACACAAACAGAAAATTTCACAAGATCATAGAATGTGTAACATTTTGTTTGTGTACTTTATACACATAACATAGTGGTGTGTGCTTTTACATTTTAAGAAGTGTTGTCTACCGTCTAAAATAATGTTCATCTGAATTGGACCCTCATGGCCCCATAGGAACCCAGAATCAAATCATGATTTTTGTAGAAATTTAATTAATAAAAAAACTTCACTTTAATAGTAATAAAGAAAAGACCAACAAAGCCTACAGTCCTCAGGGGAAAATATTCGTTTGCCCATTTATAGACTTAACATTACAAAACAATGTTCAAAACTATCCTCTCCTAAAAATATGAAGATTTAACAAAAATCAGCGAGGCCCATTGCCACATACCCTAACCACATAAACACAATTGACTCACAAAACCCTATTCGCTGCACCGCATCATCTTCTACCTAGTTACACCACACAAATCACTGCAACACAACAATGTGACACACCTCACCCTCCCTGCTAACATGAATCATTGGTCCAAAAAATGAACAACATGCCACCTCAGTTAACTCAATTCAGGGCCCCGCTTACGTTTTTAGCTCAACTTATTTTGGAAAAACAATCAGTTTTTTCACCAACTTTCAGAGAGCGTCCAATTTTTTTTTTTCAAAATTAATCTATTCCCAAACATGCCATTCTTCTAGTATAAATATTCAACATTGCCAGCCCTTTTAGTTTCCGATCCTCTTCCTTCAATAAATCCCTTTACACATCAACATCAGAACCACATGTTCTACCAGGCCTTAAAACTCAGAAAAAGACACAACACCAAACGCAATCATACTCTGAACTCACACTTTTGCCAGTAACACAACATTACTAAATCCCTTTAACACTGTAAACATAAATAAATAAATAAAAGAATCAAAATTCATACTTCAAGGTCTTGTCCCAGCTTCCCGTGGCTAAAAGATTCATCTCCGGTATCCAAGCAATATCTTTCACAGGAGCATCGTGCATCGCAACAGTCATTGGTTGCCCACCAGACGTAAGCGGCCACATCTTCACCTGCTTGTCACATCCCCCAGAAAAAACTGTGGTTCCATCATCCTTCCAAGCGGAGCACAAAACCTTCAACAACAAAAACAAAACCAGTTTCAAAAAAATGCACCCAATGCCACTTCATTCTCAAAGGAGAATATCAACAACAATAACAACAACCCCTTATTTCCTAATAAGTAGTATCGTAAATCAAATTCCAATTCAAATTCATTACCGGCTGGTCATGAGAAATCGAAGCCTTGGGAGTACTGTTGACAACAGTCCCATTCCTTGTTATCTCCCAACACCGAACCTAACAACGTAGAAATCGTCACAAAAAGAACAAACACATGAAAATGAAGATTTTGAACTTAGGGTTTTTCTCGTATCTAGATATTCAGCAAACAAATAATTAAAAAAAAAAAGTTTTTTTTAAGCGAGATGGAGAACCTGGTTGTCCCATGAAGTAGCAACGAGGAAATTGGCCTTGGAACTGAACGAAAGACTCGAAATGGAATCAGAAGGAGGTTGTGCAACCTGAAACATTAACTCTTGAGAAGAAAGCACGTCACATAATCAGAATCAGAATGAGAATGGTAACACTTTCATTACCTCGTGGGATTTGTTGGGGTTGGTATTTGCAGCTCCGAACGTGGCCATTTGGATGAAAGAGAAGAGAAAGTGAGAGAGAGATTGATGAGTGAGTGAGGGAAGAAATATGCGGTTAGAAGTGAACACGAGGATGGTGCAGTTGCATAGGATTTTAATGAAGGTGGGTCATGCTAAACAATGTGGTACTATTTTGCTTTCGAGAAGTTCTAGCCAGATCTGGCGCGGCGGAGAACGGTGACGCCGTTCGTCGAACCGCCGAGCAGCGGCGGAAGAATGAAGAGAGGGTTAGGGGTAAACAGAATCCACCGTTTAGGTGAGGGAGTTAGGGCTTTTTTACAATATCTTTTATTATTTATAATTTCTGATTTAAAAAATAATAATTCACTTAGGAAAAAAGTCTGGATTAATAATATTATTATAAACTAAGTATTAAAATTAAAATAAAAATGAGATTAAATAATATATGTTAGTTTAACTGGTGTGATTTATCTTTTGATCTCAAAATATTGTATTTAACTCTTTATTCAATAAAAATATTATTTTTTAATGATAAGAGGATATAAAACCTATTAAATGTGAAGATCAAAATGATTACTAAATAGATATCTTTCTTATATATTAGTATAGATAAGTTAAGTTGTAAGAGAAAAAATAATATAGAATATTTAAAAAGATTTATAATGCATAATTTTATTAAATTTGATAATAAATATTTTTAAAATTATATTGAAATTATTTTTAAAAAAAGATAATGCTAGTAACATACTTTTTATCTTAATACTCTTTACTTTCTTGTTGATTAGAATTTATTCAATACCTCAAAAATCAGAAGAGTGGGTCATTAAATAAAATATAATATCACTAAATTTTATCTTTTTAATAAATTTTTACTAATTAAAAAGTGTTTATTCAAAAGAGTATATCAAATAGTGCATTCCTATCATTTTTCTAATTTTTAATTAGTTGACAAATTGAAATTACATATAGTAATTTTTTAAATTAAAAGTAATAGTAAATCAATGAAAATTTTAGTGGATATGAGTACACATTCTCGTCAAATAAAAACATTCAACGAAAATTATTAAAAACATATAGAAAAATATTTTTTCTCAAATTAAAAAAAAAAATCAATGAAGATTATTAAAATAGATAGAAAAATATTTTTTTCATTTTAATTAATGGCGTATGTACACAATATTCAAAATAATTTTACCTTTTTATTCATTAAAAAAAGATTAAACAAGTTTTTTAACAATGTAAGAATTTTGTTTATTTATTTGTGATTCATGAAAGTAACATTATTGAAATGAATTAGTTTATTAAGAAAAAAAAATGATGTCTCGTACTTAAACCATTATCAAAATATTTCATAAGAATTTAATTGATCTCTATGAACAAGCTTGTTGAAATGTGATTTGAATTAAGTTAATAAAGCTTAGAAAATTTCGTTTGAATTTTAAATTTTTTTTAATGCTTTTACATAAATGTTTAAACAAACATTTCATTATAATTAAACATATGTTGATTATATTGGATTTGAAGAAAAAAATATTATACATAAATAATATAAAAAAAAAAGTTTTATATTATTTTTTATGATAATTAATTTGACAGTCTTGCTAATAGTAATTTTTTTATTGGTTTATAATGTAAAATATTTTACATTAACATTAAACCCTTATATTTGATGTTATTAATAAAACTTTGTATAAATAATTCTTTGAAATGATGTAAAGTTAAATTGAGATACATTTTTATTATTACATAATTGAAATGTATTTAATAAGATAGTTAAAGTTCTTCCTTATATTCCAAATAAAGTAAGAAAAATATGATTTTTTTATTCATCAACAAAAGTGCACTAATAATAAAAAAAGGTTTAAGATGTAAGATTTTAAAGTAATAATAGTTAAAGATAATATTGACAATAAAAATCAATAGGAGATCATTGTAAAACAATTTTGTTAAAATATTTATAGTCATTAAAAAAATAACATGAGTGCAATAGAATCATAACATTTTATGTGTATATAATAGTTCAACTTGCATCTTATGTCTAGCATTATGATGGTAGTATAGTTTAAAAAATAATGCTTGTATAATTTTTTTTTGTTTTTTCTCACAAATATTTTTCTATTCAAACTTTTATTTTTCTATCTTAAAAAGATAAACACATTTTTATAACAATTATTTTATAGTTTCTTTTTTATATTTATCACTCGTGTTAAATGTTTTATTTTTTTAAAAATGAAATACTTTTAAAATTATTTCAAAATCTTTTGATAAGGTTTTTCCTTTTCAAACTTTTTTTTTCTCTCGTTTTTCCCTAAGCTATTGCAACATTTAATCATTATCAATAGTAAAGTTACATAATAAGAATAAACTATTAAGAAATTAAATATAAATAAGAGTTAACCTATAATTATAACATAAAAATTGAAAAAACATAATGATATTTTATGAACAAATTAATAAGGTGTTGTAAATGATAGAAAAATCTTAAGGGAGGATTATAACATTTGCTTGTGCACAAGTTATAAAACTAGAGTAATTATTATATTTATTCATGTGTTATTTTTTCTTCTCATTATCCTTTCTTCTCCCAAAAGAAACTGTCAAAGATAATATATTAAGAATGAACAAGTTATTTTTATTTAATCTTTTTGTGTGAGAAGTTAAGCAAAATTAGAATGATAATGTATAAGAGTAATAAGTGGCCAAAGACTAAGAAGTTAATGCCAAAATGAGATACCAATATCCAAAAGTTATGCATTACTCTACAACAAATAGAAAATGACCTATCATTACTCCATAAATGTTTTTACCTTAATTACCAAAAAAAAAAAAACACCAAAAGTATTATGATGTGGTAGAAAGGAAATAAGAACATTTGGTTAACAAGAAGTTTGCTTATAGAAATAAATTTTTATCATTATTTAAATAAATGCACAAGTTTTGGTCATAGAGTTAATCACTATAAGTAAAGAGAATATAAAGAAAATTACCAAACAACAATAAACAAAATTTGTCTAATGGCATCCCAACATATTTCACTCCTATAAATAGATAGTAATAGCATTACATGTAATATATAAAAAAAATATACAATTACCACTATTATATCCATTGATTTCATTCTTCCTAGAAGGAGCATATGTCTTACTTAACCTCTCTATCGGTCATGACTAAAGTCTAATGAGATCATCACCTAAACAAATAAAAAAAAACTTGAGATTTCTTTGTCAACCTAGACAATCATTCACATAATTATATATACATTTATAGGTTGAAGTACAATTGAAATATTAAATACACGATTATGACTGACCTAACTAATGAGAAGGTCATTAATTCCACCAATGTATATGAAGGTACCCTACGGCTTCAGGCTTTGAACAAATTCATTTATAACCACTGATCTAATTCCTAGTTTTGTTTGGTTAGAATTGCCCCATTTACACATAAAAAAAAGTTTAGAAATAGGTTTGTCTCAATAATACTAACTATTGACCATTGACAAAAACAAGAATAATGAAAATAATAACAAATCTATCTCAAATTGTGTATCGATGGTGTAAATCCATAAATTTTTTATTCCAAAGAACCTTCAATCCCTAAAAGCTACATGATTATGTAGGTGGTCGGGTTTGTTTTGGTTAGGTGATCCTATCTTTCTTTGGGTTCGATCTTATGCAAGCGATTGGACTTGGGCCTATGGAAGGGGTCGGGTATGAGGAAGTAGTTGAGTTTAGTTTGATGCAGGAGGTTGGGTCTAGTTTAGCTAGGCACACATGTCTTTGTTAGTGTTCAGTTTGATGCAGGAAGTTGGGTCTAGTTTAGCTAGGCGCACATGTCTTTGTTAGTGTTCAGTTTGATGCAAGTTTTAGGTTTCTTTAGTAGGAAAAGGCCTAAATAAGCATATACTTGTATCGTGTCCTTGTTGTCCACACCTTCTACATTTACCAACTAATCTCTTCCTTCTCACTTTTGTTGCATTGCTACTGGTAGTCTCTTTAGGTTTCTCATTTCTTACTTTTTTAAACCTCTCTAGCATCTTCTTGATTGTAGGCAGTTGGACACCTTCTATATCGAAAGACTTATCATGCATGCAACATGCAATACGTTCATATGATAACATAGTCGTAAATAGAAAAATAATACCTAATCAACTATCCCATGGCAATATGGCATGGCACTAAGCCAACTTCCATCACAACTAGAGTTCAAAATTGATCATCGGAGTTGAGGAATTTTAACCTTTCACAAACATTTTCTTCCATGCATGCTTAAAGAACTTCATCACGTCCATAGAGGATGGTTCAAACTTTATTTCATGCACCACCTTAGGTCTTTTTATAAAGGTCAAAACAACACCTATTACAAACACTACGAAAGGAGAAGAAAGTGAGAAAATAACCCTTTTCACTCCATTTATCCTATTTCTCGCATTTACACCCTTAACCCTCTTTCGAAAACCCAGATCATAACTTAAAGTGTCATCATTATCTCCACCACCACTTTCACATCCATGACCATTCTCATCATAATCGATTACAACAACAATAATACACCAAAATCTATGGCAAAAACCAACCCAAATTAATGCCTATCACCCAAAGCCCCAAACTTGGCTAGTCTCAAATCTTTTATCACATACTTAACTATTGTGAAAGTAAAGGACAAGTCTTGTGATAGTTGAATTCCCCTAACAATTAGGAATCAACATGTACACAAGCTACATAAACCTTGCCACACCCAATATGAACAACACATCGTTGGTTAAGAAGTCAACGACCATGATCTATGACACATTGAAGTTGCTATTGACATTCGATAAGCCCTTAGCTATGATGAACTTCATGGGTTGGACAAGAATGAAGACCCCATAAATTGCATTAGTGATGATTTTGTAGATGCTTGTGAAAAACACTGTGGTGCCAAGGTTGAAGTCCTTGGAAATTTACTTTCTACACGATCACATTGGTTAAGAAATATGTGGTTAGAGTGCTTTGGGTTGTTTCAAGGTTTAAGAAACGTGTGAAAATTTATTTTTTGTTCGAACCCTTAACCACACTATTAGATGCATGACAAAAATGATCAAATTGGTCCATTTCTAAAATATAAATAACTAAATTAAATTTTTTAAAGAAAATTGGCTATACTAAATCTAAAAAGTAAGACGCCAAAATAAATATATAATTTAGCTTATATATATTCATAATATTTATATATTTATGAATGCATATATAATAACATATATTTACATAAAATTTATAATAACTAAAATATAATATTAAAGATGATAAACTTATGC